CGTGCACTTACGGATTTATCTGTGTGTGTTGAAATATACCAACATACGGGATACTAGATAAACCACCGTGCATGTCCAAAGGCTGAACTTCGCATGAAGGAGCTACCGGAAGATGGAGCACTTCTAGGCTTTGTTTGGATAGGTTTGGATCAGCGGGGATTGGGGAGGGGGGGTCCTGGCCTCTGGATGCACATAACTGCATTTGGGTGACGCTGGGTTGGAGGAAAACCCGCCCGATCCACTTCAATCTAAGGGAGAAAGAATTATCCTCACCGGAGACTGGGACTGCGCTCCCTTCTCGCGCTCGCGAGTCATGAGCCTCGCTCCCACTGCACGCAACTGCCACCGCTCCCGACTCACCACCAAGTCTGCCGGTGACACGACACTGCCATCGCTTGCGCTTGAAAAAGGTATGTTCTCCGCCTCCTCTAGTCCTCCTCGGCCTCATCCCCAGCTCCCTCACATTGAGCACACCGCACCACTGCTCCCTTGAGCCGAGGTCATCATGCGGGAGCTGACGCGTTACATGGGAGTCAGCAGTCTGGGAGGAGACGGCTAGATAAGGAGAGTGTTTGAGAGTTAGGATCTAAAGGCATTTATATACTCTCTTGTGTATATCTGATGGTCCTAAATTCCCTGAGGCCATCCAATGAGTAGAAAGGATCAAGCCACGTCGCGTCGGCCCAAAATCCTTGTCGTGCCCATGCCAACCCTACCCGCTAGAGTTGCGGCCTAGGCACGGTACTATGGACGTGCCATGCCAGGCCCGTGTCATGGTTTTTTGGACTAGGCCCATGCCGGCCCATTAGGCTGGGCCCGTTTGGCAATCTATAGCCTTGATCTCCGTTGTTGCTGATTACGCCAACAATGATCTCGTCCCCAAGGGCACAAACCTGGAGCAGCATGTGTAGTGGATGCAGTGCATCATGTCGAAGAAGCTGGCCATGTACACGCGCATGTAGGGCTATTGCAGCGGCGAGTAGGGATGGAATGGCCACGGACCATGCAAGGTGGAGAGAGGATGAACAAGGCCGCTGATGTCACACACCACTTGTACCAGCCTACATGGAGGTGGAGGCAAACTCTTCCTCCAGCTCTTCCTGCTCCCCTTGTAGCTCATCATGTTTTTAAGAACTTAACAGAAATGACTTGAAAGCCCATTCGATACTTACTATGCATGTTTTTTCCCTTCACAGCATATTGGTTGACTTTCAACTGACTGGGGTTTGGATTATGTATGAGCTTGCACACTTTTTGTAACCAAGTATTAATGCCTTAATGGGGTAATATAATCAACAAAACTAGTAAAAGATCCATGCACCAAACGCTAGAAGCGTGTGCCGCACTGCTGTGATGATGGAACAGTGGATAACCATACAAATAGCAAAACATCAGGACCATACAGATACTATATAGGAAACAATAGTAGCAAATAAGGTCCAAGACGATAACACCAAGATGATGATTACACTTACACCATAGTAATGAGCAGACACCACACACTTAGAATATATAGGTGGATCACACAAAGACATGATAGTACAACTACTTAGGGAGTTAGGGTAGCTGTTGATTTTGGACAAATTAAACACAGGCTGCTTGTAAATTATTGAACCACCCCTTTGCTTCCTGCCTAGTTCTTCACCACCACCTCCTGCTCCTCCTCCTCCTCGTCAGTGATCTCCTTTTCATCATAGGCATAGCCAAAAGCACAGTACTGAGCGATGAGGGCGTGCTGATATGCAAGGTTCTTAGCATTGATGACCTTGGCAATGTCATAGCTTTGGCGGTATTCCTCGGGGCACTCGGCCATTTCCTCGTCAGAGAGTTCTCTCATCATGCAGGGATCATTTGCGATAATGTAATCGATGCAAGCATCGGGCAAAATTACCCTGACCACCTTCTTCTTCTTGTTGCTCTTCTTGTCGACCGTGGGCACCTGCGTGGTCTTCCTCTCCATCCAGTGATCCAACACCCCTGGACAAGCTTCTCGCTCCATAGATGCTCCGCCTCCCACAACTCCTCCCTCAGCTTCAGCATCTCACCCTCCTTCCACAAGCTATCACCCACCTTCTTGAGGGCAGCAGCTGCGTCATCTTCCGATGCACTGGCCTCCTTCCTCTTCGGATCACGGTCATGGTAGTCACCGGCCTCCGACGACGCGCCGGTGGCCTCCTTCCTCTTCGTCCCGGCCCCCGCCGGCTGGGCCTCCGCCGTGGGCTTGTTGGTCGCCAACAAACCGCCGGCCAAGTCCATCATCGCCTCCTTCCTATTCGTCAGGATGTCGCCGCTCTCAGACTCCTCCGACGCTGTGGTCTCCTTGGTCGTCGTGAGGTTGAGCTCTCGATCATCACCGTCCCCCGTCCCCCGTCGCAGCAGACGCCATCGATCGATCATACCCTAACGCAAATCAGCCTCGATACGGATGCGGACAGGCGACGCCGTCGCGTCGCCTTTATTTATATATATATATATATATATATATATATATATATATATATATATATACACACACTAGATAGAAATTGTCTTTCCGTTTGCATAGTTGCATCCGAATCCGAAAGGGTTACCGCCTTGCCATCTTCCGTGTATATCTGCGGCTCTCCTTCGGTCCTTCCCTGCCATCTTCCGTGTCGCGTCCTCGCAAACCATCCAGATCGTCTTTTTCGAGACGTAGCTAGATCGATCCATCGATTGCGGGCGATGGGGTCCCGTCGTCGATACCAGAAGAGGAAGGCGGCGGCTCGCGCGTCCGCGTCCACGTCTTCGGAGGCCGGCGACTCTGTCCCTGTCCTCAAGAGAAAGAAGCAGGCGCCGAGCGCGTCAGACACGGATGAATCTAAGATTCAGAAGCTCGAGGAGGCGGGCGCATTGGAGGAAGGCAAGATTCTGAAGCTCAAGAAGGAGTTCGTCGCGGCGAACCAGGCGTCAGTGGAGAGGATTCCCTTCTTCACAGCGCCGACGCCGGAGGAGGCGGCGGCCCGGGCCCTGGCGCAGCCGGACGGTAAGACGAAGAAGACCAAGAAGGTGGTGATCAAGAGGGTGGTGCCGACGCGGGTCATGGAAAGTTTTAAGGCGAGGCTCTTCACGATTATCCCTGACGAGTGTATTCTCACCGAAGACGAGCTCGCCAAACACTCCCAGGACTTCCAGGAATCCTACGCCGAGAACATGAACCTCATGAACAAGATGCGTGCCTGGCAGAAGGCACTCCTTGAGCAGTACGATAAGTTTGGCTATGCCGTTGATGAGTCGGAGGCCGAGGTCACCGACGATGAAGACGACGACGACGGCACGGTGGTGGAATAACTAGCTAGCTCGACACAAATGGTGGTGCTACCGTGCTACTTTGCCTTTTGACTAGTTATTATTAACTGGTTTTATGTCCTCGTGTTGCTAACTTGCTATGGCTAGTGCGGTCTATCAAATGAACCCACGAGCCAGGCTAGTGCGGTCTATGGGGCAGCCTTGAGCCTTTGACCGATTAGAACTTGTAATAACATATGGATACCCCTTATATATATATATATATATATATATATATATATATATATATATATATATATATATATATATATATATATATCCGACATTCGTATCTACTAAAACTGCTTGTAATATAGATATCTGTATTCATATCTGTTTTTAATATGCATAATAAATGGTTGTATCGGAATTCATTTTTCGATGTTTTTCTCTATCCGATTTCAGATCCATAACGTTTATCCGTATCCACACGAGAAAACAAGGTATAATCAATCTATTTAAGAAGTTTTCTCTATATGAGCAGTGACTAATAATTTAATTTTAATACTAGTAATGATGCATTGAAACTATTTAATAGTATATATCTATAAAAAAAACTTCTAATATTATTAATGTAACATAAAGATTAAATAAATTTTAGTATTTCCTAATTTAGTCTATACCTAATATATTTGTTATCATCATAAATGATTTTAATACTTTAATTATTTATGTACTGGTGTAAATTATTTTAAAACGATTTATAAGGTGCTAGGTTGTGCATTTTGAGAAAAGAAATAAGGAACATGATTTCCTAATGAATAATAGAAGACATACATGTTTGGGGGCAGAAACACATGGAGTGAGGCCCCGTTTGGATTGGAGAAAAGTCACATGAATTTTGGAGGAAGCAATTCCGAAGGAAAGGAAACGAGAGATGTCGTTTGGAACAAAGGAAGCTTCCCTACCGTTTCAGGGGAAAGGAAACTGCTTGCGCACAAAACGCAGGAACTAGAAAATCCACTCCGACCCAAGGGAACGGAGGGAACGCTGCGCTCGCTCTTTGCACAAAACGTAGGAAAAGAAAGAATCCACACAGAACCAAGGGAAATCTTCGTCGCTCGCTTTGTTGCTCGTGACGCTTGCTAATCATGGCCTGGCAGTCAGGTCTTGCCTTCCACCACGCATTCTCACGAGCCCTGCAGCTCGCGCCGACGCCGACACCGGTGCCTGCCGTGGCCGCTCACACTCACTCGGTTGTTCGGTCAGTCGCGCCGCCACGGTTTGCGCTCACATCGCTGCAGCTCACGCGCTGGGTCGTCCACGGTGCTCGCGTGCTCGGTCGTCCACGCCACTCGCACTCAAGTTGCCGTAATTGATTTGTAAAATCCTGTGTTATAATTCCTACGATCCAAACACCCCTATCTATGTCTTTCATGTGTTTTCCCATTCCTCTGTTTTCTCACAACACCTACACCCCATTCCTGCGTTTTTTTCCTTTCCTCTGTTTTGCATTCTTTGTTCCAAACAGGCCCTGAGTCAGATATTCGCAGGAACTTTTGAGGATCAAGAAACTTTCTTTTTTTTAGAGCACGCCAAAGCGCGTATTTCATTAAGCAGAACATAAGTTTTTAGAACAAACAACAAGCATGGTAACACTCTGGTTACCAAAAACACAAACCCCACCCCACACCATAGCACACGGGGGATTACACCAAGTTACATGTTGCGACTAGCGCGGGCAGCAGGCTGGATCAAGCCCCCAAAACGGACAGCAGCAGCCGGAAATGTGTGAAGCCCGCCTGGCACCACGACGAAGCCTCATCCTGAATAAGCGCAGCCAAATCCGCCGCCGGGCGCCCCACGCCGTTGAAAGTTCTGGCGTTCCTCTCCTTCCATATAAGCCATCCCACCAGGAAGAATAGAGAGTCAAAACCTCTTCGCAACAATTTTGGAAGCTGCTGCTTAGCCGTAAGCCACCACTGAAACACATTTTCATCTCTAACAACAATGGTAGAGTGAAGATTTAGCCTGGACAGCACCAAAACCCACACCTCCCTAATTAGTGAACATCCCAGTAAGATGTGATCAATTGTCTCCGCCGTCTGGTCACACATGATGCAGGTACTGGACGGCTGCAAACCGTGTCTGAATCTTCGTTCCGCTGTCCAACAGCGATCATGAAGGACGAGCCAGAAAAAGAAGCGTACACGCGGTGGTGCCGTGGTCTTCCACACCTGCTTAGCCCCAAACACGGGTGATGAACCAAAGAACATCGCCCCGTAGGCCGAAGCCGCTGAGTACTCTCCATCCGCCGACAGAAGCCAACGGAAAGTATCAGGCTCATTAGACAAATGAACGGACTCCAGAAGATCGAACAAGTAGCCAAACTCGAGCATCTGTTGTGCAGTCACCGGCCCCTGCACATGGCGCACCCAAGCATCCCCCGCGAGCGCCTGGGCCACAACCGTCTTCTTCTTCCTGGCACTGACCGTCGCAAAGATAGACGGCGCAATGTCCTCAATGCATCTTCCATCCAGCCAGACATCTGTCCAGAAGAAGGTGGATTCCCCATTGCCAAGGGTCAGCACCGTAGCGGCCTGGAACAGCTTCAGCACCACGCTCTCCCTGGACACAGGCATCCTGCCAGCGCGCCTGTCGCGCCACACCCACCGCAAACGCAGCGCAATTCCCACACGCCTAAGGTCAGAAATACCGAGGCCGCCCAGCTCCTTGGGCCGGCAGCAAACTGTCCAGGCAACCCTACAGCGGCCACCAGCAGCCACCTCCGAACCTGTCCAGATAAAAGCACGACGTAGGCGATCAATCTCCCCAATTGCCCACGGTGACAGACATAGGGCGATGGAGACATGCACCGGGATCGCTGACAGTGTTGCCTTTACCAAGGCCGTGCGGCCAGCCATGCTCACCTTCTCCATCCCAATGAACTCCCTGACTACATTACGACGCGCACGATCGTTGAGGCCGCGCATGTTCCAACTGAAACAAGAAAAGTTCGTCGACATTAAGGAACCAAGGTGCGACACAGCAGCAAACAGCACCAAGTCCTCAGTTGAGGGCCTCGTCCACCCTAGCCACGTCCAGGTCCATGGCCACCAGGTCCACCTTCCCCTCCAGGAAAGTTTGGAGAGCGACCCTCTTGCGCGTCGTGATGTCACCGCGGAACGCCGCCTTGACCAACCCCTCCAGCTCGGCCTCAGGGTCATCATCCCTTACCGGCACCCCTAACTTCTTCAGCAACACGCGCTGCGCCTGAGCCGTGGCGTTTGCCGCGCGCGGACGGGCAGCAAGACGCCCGCTTCTCCTGACGGTCCGCCCCGAGACCGGAGTCCGAGCACGCCGCAGTCTTGGCCTCTCCTTGATAATTGGTGAACGGAAAGGAAGACACACCTCTTCCTCCAGTAGATCCTGGATGGACCGCGGCGCCCCCCGCTGGTAATCAGCCACTGCACCAGCAGAAACACCCTCCTCCTGCAACTCCAGCACAGGATCAGGAAGTTCCGGTCCCGCTAGACTCAACACAGGTGCAGCGAGAGAGGCATCATGGCTTCGTACATTGTTGTCCTGTTCAGCCCATTCCATCTCAACCATGTCCGACCACCAGTCAATAGAGTTCGGGCCAGGTTGCATCACGGCCCTCTCCTTCCCCGCCTCAAATTCAGAGGCCACATGTTTGGCCCACCAATCATCCTGGATCACCGGGGGCGGAGTCCACACGCTTCGCCCATCCTGCAACAAATGCGGAGCATGGCGCAAGAAGCAGTCCACCACGCCCGTAACAGGTGACAAGCCATGCCGCGGCAGAAGAGAGGGCGACCGCAAAGTCCTCCGGATCAACGTCGAACATGAGGAAGAGTGGATCTTCAGTGCGCTCCCAGGGGTCCGAGGAGCGGATAGCATCTCCCAACGTTCCAGCGATCCCTGAACAACAGCAGGGGATGAAGGCATGTACTTGTTCTATTGTAATGTGTGGCCATGTTTGTTATTCCCATATGTTTTACCCGTCAGACCACATAAACACAAGTATACGTACTACAATAGAGCTATTTTTAGTGTCATGTTAACCAACGAGTACGAGTAATCGAGACTAGTCTTGGTGGGAGTTTTATTTATATTTAATAGCCTGACACATATGTATTTTTGATGACCTGGCAATATTTTAATGAAGAGAGAGAATAAATGAGTTTTATAAGGATGAAACTCCTTGGCACGATTATCAACTCTACGTGAGTCTTAGCATAAAATGCCTATGAAACTCTAGAATAAAATTTTGCATTGAGATTGAGTGTTTTATCCAAGTTTTATTTCATTCTATATATGATATGTATAAACAACGCAGCGAAATTCTCTGCCGAGACTGGGCTAACATATACTCCCTCCGTACCTGAAATTCTTGACGTCCTGGGCTCCCGTCGTGTTTTCGCAAAACCTGACGTTCTACGCTCGCTCGGCCGCGCTCGGACGGGTTTACCCATGGCGCTCGCGTCCGTTCCGCTCGCCACCGGACTCGGCATTAATTGCTCGATGCCTCGTTTCTCTTGGTCGCCGCCCGTTCTCGGCTCTCGCGTACGAGTAAAGGCCGCTGCATGCGCCTCCCTTCCTCTCCGCAGCACTCGCCTCCCTCCCTGCTCGCTTCCTCGCCGCCATCGTTTAGGGTTGGCCGCGCCGACAGCGCGTTTAGGGTTCGCCGCCACGCTCTCCTGCTCGCTCGAGGCCATGGAGTCCGTCAAGGCGCAGCACTCCATAGGCGCGCTGGACTTGGAGGCCATGAAGTCCATTGATGCGCTCGTCTCTGTCAACGCGCTGGACTCTGATGTGGCCATGGAGTCCGTCGATGTTGTGCCGGACTCTGTCGACGTCGTCGTGCCGGACTCCGTCGAGCTCGTGTCGGACTCCGTCGAGCTCGTGCCGGACTCCGTCGAGGACGTCCTAGACGATGACTAGGTCGTGCACTGTCCTCGCTGCGGCACGTTGCACGCTGGCGGCGTCTTCAGAGATGCTTGCTTCCAAGCTCGCCGGAACGCTCGCAGGTGTGCACGTTGTGGCCTTCTACATGAAGACTACGACATCTCAGCAAAGTGGCTCCATCTAATGGACAGGTTCGATTACGAGTTCTACATTCCTGATGTGGTTAAACTTGAGATGGATGGTACTAGAATCATGTGCACTGATGAAGTTTTGAAGAAGGTGGATGAGCATATTAAGAAGCAGCAAACAAAGAGCAAGTTGGTTTTTACCTTGCTTCCATATGCGCTGAACTGATCGAATCTTTACTCCAAATTGACCGGCAACAATTGTTGTATCTTGCTTGCCTAGTTTCCCATTCTTGCTTGTCATCAACAATGCTTGGTACACTTGTTTTCTAACATGTTCAGGATAGTCATGCTTCGGCGGGTGTACTTGAACGGGAGTCTCAACATCTTGTTCTAACATGTAAATATAGGAAAAAGAACAAGCTTATTCATAGTAAAATGTAGTCACGGCATGATCTAAATATAGGGAAAACAACAAGCTTATTCATAGTACTCACGGCATGATATAAATATAGGAATAAAACAAGCATTTTAATAGTACATAATCAAAATAATGGCCATGCTTACCAGCTAGGTTTTGTACGTAATCAAAATCAACAGCTCCAAATTCATCTAGTGGCAAGTTCAAATCGAATCCTATAAAAAAAGAAGAACATGCTCGTTTAGCGACAAGAGAAGAAGAACATGTAGCAGGAGAAAAAAAAATGGTGTTTTACATGCACAAGACAAGAAGAGGTAGTACAGTTGCCATGCTCGTCATCTTCAGGCTCGTTCAAATCAAATCCAGCGTTGCCGTCGTCACCTTCATGCTCGTTGAGATCCAAGGGAAGGTTGCCGTCGTCATCATCCTCTAAACGGACGTTTAGATCAAAGCCGAAGCAAGACTCAGCCATTGCGCCATAGATGTGGAAGGAAAAAAGCTAAGCCATGTGAGGAAGCAAGCTAGCACGGCAAGCAAGCAAGCAACGAAGTGAGGAGATGAGGCGTTTAAGCAAGCAAGGCCGGGGAAAGACTAAGTTTTATTAAGCACCGTGGAACTCAAACGACGGAGCTGGCGAGCACTAAAATTAGAATTCCGTGGCGCCAACGCAAACAACGAAAAAATTGCGGTGCAACACGGCCGTAGCGCCAAGAAACGCGCTCAAACGCCCCCAAATGAGAAAACAAACGTGCCCAGCGACTTCTGTGGCTCAGCGCGCGTGCCACGACCAATCCTTTGCAAAAACTGACCTCAAAAACGCGCCACGCAGGGCCCAATAGTGCCATGCAAAAAATCCCATGCAAATGAAGCCCCCAGCAAAAACATCGTGGCCGCTAGGAATCGACCCTAGCTCGCCACTCTCACGCCTCAGTGCACTAGCCATCTGAGATGGGTAACTTTCTCATATGAGATGCACGCGCAACCATATTTAATAGGGGCAGACAGGGAAAAATACCCCCTAATTAATCACTCCTTGGTAAGCACGATTATGTCCTAAACGTTAAGAATTTCGGGTATGGAGGGAGTACATATGACAACTGTTGGAGGCCAGCCGGGGTAACTCGCTCTGACCCTGAGGTTCACGCTCGACTCGATCTCCATGTCTGTGGTCGCGTGGGTTCACCCGCCCACCGCCTGCTGATGGCTAATGGGAGCACTGGTAGGAGTAAGAGAAAGGCTAATAATTTAGCCTGCTGCTGGCTAAATACAAGTGCCACGTCACATATAGTAAGCAATATAGTGCATTCATATAATAGGTTGGCTGAGAGGTCAGCTGTATCAATACACAAGCAATTAATATTTTACAGTTGGTTCCCAATACATAAGAACTAAACGGTGACTCCCAGCTAGCTCTCAGCCAGCATCCGGCTGTAAGGTACATTTTTCATCTCGTATTCTGCGTTTCAGCCGGCGAGAAGATAAACGCCTGCTTAACCATCTCTCTCCTAACGTGGCAACTTTTCTGATGACCTGGAGCTCATCTCGCTGGCTCCAACACGTTATTATACCTGCTCTAATGGTGATGGACCGTTGGGTGATGGTCAATGGTATGGGAGGGGAGTATCGAGGCCGAGGAGGAGTTACGCCGCTGTCCAGGTATTTTCGAACGCAAACGCCGCTTTCCTCATTTCCCGCACACGCGTGCCGCAGCCCGCAGCGCAGAAGTTTTTCCTTCTTTTTTTACACCCATCTGTGACTTACTGCTGGGCCCCAGGCATACCCTGTGTTGGGTCCGCCCGTGGGGTGGATTTGAATTTGGATGGTGCCAACGCTACTGAGCATGGCCGCGATGTGACGTGACAACTCAACCCATTTTTATCTTTTCCACCGCATCTTGATTGTGTACCATAAAACAATTTCAGTGAAGCTAGTGGGTTCAACTTGAAAAATGGCACCTACTACTGTCCTCTTTGCTTTACCGATAAGCCATTTGAACTGAAAGATCTTGTTAATTGATTTGTTGTGAGAGAAAAATACTGTTCGTTGTCTAAAAAAAATACGGTTTATAAGCTAAGTGAACAGGACGCATTACCTCAAGGCTTTGGTGTTACTAGTATATATTATCCTCGTCTGTGCTTCCCTCCGCCTCCCCCTCGTCTGTCATCGCACTCCATTCTTCTCTCATCGCAGAGAGAGAGGGAGAGTCAGCGCCATGGAGAGGTCGGCGGGCGGTGGAGTCAAGCAAGCGCCTTCATGTATCTGCCCTGTGGATCTTCCCCATGGGTTTAGCTCCTCCCTAGATCCGCTACTTCTCCGTGATTTACTTGCTCATAGATGTGGTGAGCAGATTTGAGATTCGATTAGCATCGATTCGGTATTCTTTTCACCTTCCTTTGACAACCCCCACCGCCAAGACAACAGAAGAGCCCAAAGACACACTAGAGCCCACCGGATCGCCCGCATAGGAGCCCAGTGTGCAAAAAAGCCCACTGGATCGCCTAATAGACCAGCCCGTAGGCCCAATTCTACCGAGCAACGTTCGAAAATACAAATACAAAACCATACGCTGCCCAGTTCCAAAACCAAGAAAAATCCTCAGCGATCAACTATACGCCGTCACCGACATCCGCCTACATCGGCTCTGCCACCGGGTCGCAGCTTCTTCTTCCTCCCTCTGCAACCGGTCCACGGGAACTTCCTCCAACGCCTCCTACCTCCACAGCTGGTACGCGGGAACTTCAGCGCCGGGATCCTTCAGGGCCGGGATCCGCACTTTCCGCACCAAGAATCGTAGGATCTTCCTCAAGCGTCGGGGATGCCGCTTGGATGCTCGGAGTTCTTCTCCATGGCCCCGCTTACTCGGGTCAACCACTCGACCGAGGTACCGTGTGTCTTCTTTGAAGCCCCCTTCCAAATGTACCATCTGTCTTCTTTGAGGCCCCTTTGGTAAAGATGGCAATGGGGAACTCCCCATCGGGAAGTGGCTCCCCAGCCCCGTCCGAACGTGTGGCTACAATCGGTTTCTCCCTCCATTTCGCACACGTCCACACGTGAGCCCACGCCGCCCGGACATCGCTCAACCACGCTTGTGTCACCCGCGCCCACACGGGGGCCCGCATCGCCCAAATGTCGCCCGAGCGGGACTGCTCGCGCACCCTCCCGCTTCCCACACGCATCCCATGTGCAACACCCGATCTACTTTTAAAACATCCAGATGTAACACTTGCAACATACAAAAAAGACAAATGAAACACTTGAAACATGCATTTTTAACACTTCCAAAAACAATTGAAAAACATTGCAAAGATACGCAATGTCTAGATAAAACACTTGCAACTGCAACATACGTCTGGAAAAATAGATAAAACATTGGGGGCAGACGCTTACAACATATGTGTAGAACCATTGCAACATGTGCAACATCCCGATCTATTTTTGCAACATCCGTATGAAACACTTTAAACATACCTCTAAAACATCTGAAACATTTAAAATGTACACTTGCAACATGCATCTTATCCCAAAGGCGGCTCGACGTTGGCCCCGACAAGTTGCTGAAATCTGACGAACTACAGCTCCCGGTAGGGTCATAGACACCGTAGACTCCGAGCTTTGGGGTAGGGCGTCCTCATCAACCAGGGGTTGCGTGGGCTCTTGAGGTATGGGCATGAGGGACGCCTTCTTGAAGGCAGCGACGGCGAGGGGGCAAGAGGCATGGCGACGCGCGGCGGAGAGGGAAGCGAAAGGTATTGGAGGATGAAGAGGATGGCACGGACATGAGAGGAATGGCAAGGCGGAGGAAGAAGCAACAAGTGATTGGTGGAAACCATAGCCATGGGGATGATGGGGTGGCGGTGCCAGCAGCAGGGGCGCGTCTGCTTTATGTCGTGGCAAGAAGTAGGTAGCAGCAACATGGCATGCGGAGAATGGCGGCAGGAGCAAGTAGGCAACAGCATGACAGAGAGGGAAGCGAAAAGGTATTGGAGGATGAGGAGGAGGACAAGGAGAGGAGAGGAAAGGCGAGGCAGAGAGAAGAAGCAACAGTGACGGTGGAAGCCATAGCCATAGGGATGGTGCGGCGGTGCCGCGGTGGGGCGTCTGCTTTACGTCAAGCGGCGAGCAATAGGGCAGGATGCAGGCGGGCGTAAGGAGCAGCAGCAGCAGGAGTGGCGAGGCGGACGGTAGAGTGGGAGATGGATGGGTGACAAATTGACAGGATATTAAACAAATGTTATGTTAGTTGGGCTAGAGTAGATAGACGAGAATTAAAATTGACATGCCCCACGCCCCGCGTCAGTCCAATATCTAATAAAGAGTCGGACGCTCCGATCAAAGCGTTACCGTTAGAATATATAGCACTTTTGTACGATACCGAGTCTCCGTTACTCAAGTTTGAGCACCTGGCCTTGTTGTTGCACCAATCTGTAAGTAATACTTATAACCCGCTATTTGATAACTGAACTATACTACTATGATTCCACTTCCGGACCTACCATACATCTACTTTCTGACCATGTCTGCTACTGAGCTTCCTTTTTAGCAGTGGTTGTGGTATATGGGCATCAGAAGACCATCTCTATTCTAACTAAAAGGGAAGCATCCGGACTATCATGAAACAGTACTTGATAAACAAGAGAATAAGACCATCTCAACACCATAAAACCAGTTGAATAGATTGGAGCTCCACGCTATTCTGAACCAGAAATGGCACAACAAAAGATTATCGCAGGCGCGCACACAGTAACGGGAACAAAAACAATGTGGTATGCTCGTCTCAGCATCTTACTATAAAGATGTTTTAGGGGCTCAGTGGGGGAATTCCCCCACCTATTTTTTTTATTAAAATTGGTGGAACAGAAGTACAAGTGCACAAGATGTGCATACAAGGAGCTTGCAAAGCTCAAAAAGAAAAAGAAAAAAAGGTAGAAAACTCCAAGGCAGATTCTCCAGCCAAGTATTTAGGCAACCTGCAAGGTTGGGTTTTGCCTTGACACAAACCAAGCCAATTTCTTTCTTGAAGTCCTCTTTCCATTTATCTGTGGAGTAGGGTATAGCATCAAACATCAGCCGATTTCTTTAAGTCGAAATGATCCAGCAGGCGGTGATGAGAATTTCTCTGAACTAGCTTGAGCCGGAAACTGTCCTAGCTTCTATGATCATATCCAGTGGTGGTAAATCAAAGTTCCACTGTATACCTGTATACCCATGTAGTTCCAGAAGCAGTACTGAAGGGACTTGTCCAGGGATTACTATAAACATTACTATAAAGATTCAGCAGCCAACATATATATTTGCTGCTCCCTGACAAGTCCAGAGAAGCAGAGGCACAACAATGCAGAAACTTCATAATATTCCACGTCAGGTCAAATGTAAAGGAATACTACATCCAAACAGAACTGAAATGCTGAAATTGTGCAGATTGTTCCATAGCTCTCCCACCTCCCTTTTGTTTGCTTCCCTGATCCCCTAATCCTTTACAAGACAAGATGGCAGCACTCACCGATTGTTCTCCACAGCACAGACACATTTTGTCCACACCACAGGCGAATCCCTTCGCTTCGCTTGGTGTTCTAGCTAATTAACTCTATCTTTCTCCGCCATGTCGTCGCCGTCGTCCTCGTTGTCGGTGACCTTCGCCGTCGTCCTCGTTGTCGGTGACCTCCTTCTCGTCCTCCGATTAGGTACTGGTCGATCAGGGCCTGCTCGTAGGCCACCATCTTCTCGGTTTCAGCCTTTCTTTCGGCATAGTCCGCAAACGCTGTGCCAACCTCTCGCTGGGGATCTCGTAGACCGTCCAGGAATTTGCAATCATTACGTCGATGAGACCCTGCGGCAGCCTCTCCCTCACCACCCTCTTCTTCTTCTCCTTCTTGCCGGCGCCGGGCGGCTGGGCATCCTCCTCCTCCTGCACCGTGGGCTTCGTCGAAGGGAATTGATCCTTCTTACTATTCCTCTTCATCGTATCTTCGCCGTGGTCACCCCCCTCCGCCGACGCCGACGCATCCTTGCTCGTCCTCTTGCTCCTGAGGTTACGGCGGCCACGCGCTCCCATCGCGCGCGGTTGCCGCCGATAGATGTATCGGAGCGACATCTCCGGAGTCCGGGCGGACCCGTCGAAGAAACTGCAGTCTCCGGCACCGCCAGATGAGCAAGAAGGATGCGGCGGCGGCAAGGAAGCGAGATCGATGGAGGAGGCGGATCCGGATGGACTTGGGAGGACGTATTGGGCCGTATGACACGTATATACCTTCGGAGGGAAACGGAAACGCATCTGGACTCCGAATCCCATTCCGACCCTGTCAGGAAGCCCATGGGCCACGGATAGATCGACTAGGCTGCCGCTGCCTTCTGCTTTCCTTCTGAATTCTTTAGTGGCGGGCCGTTTCTTCTGGGCTGTAGTGCGGACATGCCAATTAAGGCTGGGCGGCCTGCAGTAATGATTGTTAGGGCCTCTTTGGTATGGATTTCCTAAAAAAAAATTCACTCAAGCGTACCTAAAGAATGACTCAACCGAATAACTCGCAAAAAAAAAAAAACGAATGACTCAAGCGTGGTCAGATCTATGTAATTTTAGTTGCCAACGCCACTAATGATTATTTGAATTTTGCTAAAAAAAGAACTAATGATCATTTGACATTTCCATGTTGACGAATTTTACCTTCTTTCTAGTTCGGCATAATTACAAAGTTGTTTCGATGATCTAAGTGACGCTCACCTTGAAACATCCACATGTAACACTTGCAACATACAAAAAAGACAAATGAAACACTTGAAACATGCATCTTTAACACTTTCAAAAACAATTGAAAAACATTGCAAAGTTACGCAATGTCTAGATAAAACACTTGGAACTGCAACATACGTCTGGAAAAATAGATGAAACATTGGGGGACAGACGCTTGCAACATACGTGTAGAACCATTGCAACATGTGCAACATCCCGATCTATTTTTGCAACATCCGTATGAAACACTTGAAACATACCTCTAAAACATCTGAAATATTTGAAATGTACACTTGCAACATGCATCTTATCCCCAAGTCTGGCTCGGCGTTATTTCGACAAGGCGGCGAAATCTCGACGATCGCAGCTCCCGGTGGGGTCATAGACGTCGTAGACTCCGAGCTTTGGGGTAGGGCGTCCTCGTCGACTGTGGGCATGTGGGCTCTTGAGGATGGGCATGAGGGACGCCTTCTTGAAGGCTGACGGCGAGGCAAAGAGCCGTGCTGGTACAAGTGGAGAGGGAAGCGAAAGGTATTGGAGGATGAGGAGGACGGTGCAGACAGGAGGGGAATGGCGAGGCGGAGAGAAGAAGCAACAGTGACAGTGGAAACCATAGCCATGGGGATGGTGCGTGGTGCTGCAGTGGCGTCTGCTTTATGTCGGTGCATGGCAGTAGGAGGAGCAATGGCGCAAGCGTCTGAGAATGTGGCAGAGGCGGCAGGGCGTCTTGGTGAGAGAGAGGGAAGCGAAAGGTATTGGAGGATGAGGACGACGGCGCGGAGAGGAGAGGAAAGGCGAGGCGGAGAAAAGAAGCAACAGTGACGGTGGAAGCCATATATAGCCATGGGGATGGTGCAGCGGTGCCACGGTGGGGCATTTGCTTTACGTCGGCGGCGAGCAATAGGAGCAGCGGTAGGAGCAGCGGGGCGGGCGTGCGGTGCTGCGGCAGGAGTGGCGAGGCGGACGGCAGAGTGGGAGATGGATAGGTGATGAATTGATGGGATATTAAACAAAGGTTGTGTCAGTTGGGCTAGAGTAGATTGACGAGAATTAAAATTGACATGGCCCCACGCCCCGCGTCTGTCCAATATCTAATAAAGAGTCGGACGCTTAGATCAAAACCTTACCGTTAGAATATATAGCATTTTTGTACGATACCGAGTCTCCGTTGCTCTAAGTTTGAGCACCTGGCCTTGTAGTTGCACCAATTTGTCAGTAATACTTATAACCCGCTATTTGATAACTGAACTATACTACTATGATTCCACTACACTTATTCCACTTCCGGACCTACCATACATCAACTTTCTGACCACGTCTGCTACTGAGCTTCCTTTTTAGCAGTGGTTGTGGTATGTGGGCATCAGAAGACCATCTCTATTCTAACTAAAAGGGAAGCATCCGGACTATCATGAAACAGTACTTGATAAACAAGAGAATAAGACCATTTCAACACCATAAAACCAGTTGAATAGATTGGAGCTCCACGCTATTCTGAACCAGAAATGGCACAACAAAAGATTATCGCACGCGCGCACACACACAGTAACGGGAACAAAAACAATGTGGTCTGCTCGTCTCAGCATCTTACTATAAAGAAAACATTTTTTTAGGGGCTCAGTGGGGGAATTCCCCCACCTATTTTTTTTATTAAAATTGGTGGAACAGAAGTACAAGTGCACAAGATGTGCATACAAGGAGCTTGCAAAGCTCAAAAAGAAAAGAAAAAAGGTAGAAAACTCCAAGGCAGATTCTCCAGCGCCAAGTATTTAGGCAACCTGCAAGGTTGGGTTTTGCCTTGACACAAACCAAGCCAATTTCTTTCTTGAAGTCCTCTTTCCATTTATCAATGGAGTAGGGTATAGCATCAAACATCAGCCGATTTCTTTAAGTCGAAATGATCCAGCAGGCGGTGATGAGAATTTCTCTGAAGCAGCTTGAGCCGGAAACTGTCCTAGCTTCTATGATCATATCCAGTGGTGGTAAATCAAAGTTCCACTGTAGACCTGTATACCCATGTAGTTCCAGCAAGCAGTACTGAAGGGACTTGTCCAGAGAATACAATAAACATTACTATAAAGATTCAGCAGCCAACATATATATTTGCTGCTCCCTGACAAGTCCAGAGAAGCAGAGGCACAACAATGCAGAAACTTCATAATATTCCACATCAGGTCAAATGTAAAGGAATACTACATCCAAACAGAACTGAACTGCTGAAATTGTGCAGATTGTTCCATAGCTCTCCCACCTCTCTTTTGTTTGCTTCCCTGATCCCCTAATCCTTTACAAGACAAGATGGCAGCACTCACCGATTGTTCTCCACAGCACAGACACATTTTGTCCACACCACAGGCGAATCCCTTCGCTTCGCTTGGTGCTGTAGCTAATTAACTCTATCTTTCTCCGCCATGTCGTCGCCCTCGCCCTCGTTGTCGGTGACCTCCTTCTCGTCCTCCGCGTAGCCATTGATTAGGTACTGGTCGATCAGGGCCTGCTCGTAGGCCACCATCTTCTCGGTTTCAGCCTTTCTTTCGGCATAGTCCGCAAACTCTGGGCCAACCTCTCGCTGGGGATCTCGTAGACCGTCCAGGAATTTGCAATCATTACGTCGATGAGACCCTGCGGCAGCCTCTCCCTCACCACCCTCTTCTTCTTCTCCTTCTTGCCGGCGCCGGGCGGCTGGGCATCCTCCTCCTCCTGCGCCGTGGGCTTCGTCGAAGGGAATTGATCCTTCTTACTATTCCTCTTCATCGTATCTTCGCCGTGGTCACCCCCCTCCGCCGACGCCGACGCTGATGCCGTCGCCTCCTTGCTCGTCCTCTTGTTCCTGAGGTTACGGCGGCCACGCGCTCCCATCGCGCGCGGTTGCCGCCGATAGATGTATCGGAGCGAGCCCCAACTAACTCACGACCTCTCCGGAGTCCGGGCGGACCCGTCGAAGAAACTGCAGTCTCCGGCACCGCCAGATGAGCAAGAAGGATGCGGCGGCGGCAAGGAAGCGAGATCGATGGAGGAGGCGGATCCGGATGGACTTGGGAGGACGTATTGGGCCGTATGGCACGTATGTACCTTCGGAGGGAAACGGAAACGCATCTGGACTCCGAATCCCATTCCGACCCTGTCACGAAGCCCATGGGCCACGGATAGATCGACTAGGCTGCCGCTGCCTTCTGCTTCCTTCTTAATTCTTTAGTGGCGGGCCGTTTCTTCTGGGCTGTAGTGCGGACATGCCAATTAAGGCTGGGCGGCCTGCAGTGCCCATAAGTATGTACCTAAAGAATAACTCGCAAAAAAAAAAAAAAATTATACGAATGACTCAAGCGTGGTCTATGTAATTTTAGTTGCCAACGCCACTAATGATTATTTGAATTTTGCTAAAAAAAGAACTAATGATCATTTGACATTTCCATGTTGACGAATTTTACCTTCTTTCTAGTTCGGCATAATTACAAAGTTGTTTCGATGATCTAAGTGACGCTCACCTTGGGCATTTTCCTCTCTCTGAAGAGCACGCTAGTCAGCTCGAAAATGCACTCGTTCCCCCTCGTGCGTGTGACAACAATGTTGTATCTTTTGCACTCGGTTGACCGGTGGACCCAATTATTTTCAGGAATGCTCAGCCGCGCCTTCTCATCGATAGTGGCCCCATCTCACTGTCTCCAGCATATCTTGTTTCCGTCCATTCTACTGTTTTACAGTGCTTTGGTGAGCAGCAGTGATTGAAACACCCGTGCTAGAATTTAAAAGTAATCCACACCTGCACTAGGATGCTAGCACCCTCTGTTCTAAATTATATGTCGTTTTGACATTGACATTTTTTTAAGATACCTAACGTTTATTACTGTATTACTAGATATATGATATGTCAAAATACGTGATAAAAGTTGTGTATTTAGAAACGATAGTGCTAGCGTCCGGACGTTCGGACAGATGCTCGCTCTGCATTCCGTTTCCCGCGCGTGTTTGCACTCCACACCCGCCCTCGCGCCAGCACACCCTCGCCCGCGCCTACGTTTCACGCGCTCACGCGGGGCCCGCGTTGTCCGAACGTCGCCGCGCCGCTAGACCACGTGCGGGGACCGCTCGTGTCTCCTCCGCTTCTCACGCGCGTTGCAACATGTATAACACCTGATCTACTTTAGCAGCATCAAATGAAACACTTGCAACATACGTGCGAAACATATGAAACACTTGCAACATACGTCTGAAACACTTAACAAAACACTTAAAAACATTTAAAAGCTATTGCAAGCATATGCAACATTCAGATAAAACACTTGCAACATATGTGTGAAACATACACAACATCCAGATAAACGTACTTGCAACTTATGTTTGGAAAAAAAAACAGATGAAACATTTAGAACAAATGTTTGCAACATACGTATATAGTCATTGCAATATATGTAACATTTCAATCTACTTTTACAACATACGTATGTTACACTTGCCACGTATGTTTAAAACGTCTTAGAACACTTGAATGCTTTGTAACATGTTAACCCCCTAGCTACGACGCAGACGCCGTTGCGTCCTTCCCCACCATCGCCTCCTTTCTCGTCCTCTTCCTCTTGAGGTTGCGGCGGCCACGAGCCCCATCGCGCCGACGTGTGAAGCGAGATCGATCGAGGAGGCGGATCCGGATGGAGTTGGGAGGACGTATTGGGCCAGGCCGTATGGCACGTATATTCCTGCGGAAATGAAAATCATATTCTGGGCCTGTCGTACGTGCCAATTAATAAGACTGGTTGAGCCACGGATGGACTTGGCTGCTGCTGGCTTCTGCTGTCTAATTATTTGGTGGCCAGCCGTTTCTTCTGGGCTCTAGTACGTACGTGCCAATTAATAAGACTGGGAAAAAAAAATTCCATCTCACCTCTCATATTATTGTATTTTATGAGTCCCATTTATCTTCTTCAATCAGAAAAACTTCAATTAGAAAAATTAAATTTTAGACTCTTATAATTTAAAACCATCCAATTAACCCCCCCTTGAGCGATTTTGAAGGTCGTTTTGGCTAACGTGATGGCACGTCAGAAACGTAAATCGGACTTTTTGCAATAGTTTAGGAAGATCAACTAGACTTTATTCAAAACTGTAGAAATAATTTTTCAAAAAGTTATTAAATGTTTTCCTAGAATAATATGCATTTAAAAATACTAAAAAACTAATTTAATATTACAAAATCCATAGAAATTTAGTTTAAACACATAGAAATATTCCCTGAAATCATGCCGTGCCTTTTTATCCCTTGCCTACAATTATTTGAATCTAAATTTGAAACTGGGCCAAACATGAAACTAAGGATACATACCAAAACAAGTATCTTTATTTCTAGAAGTGGCGCTCCATATTTTTAGATTAACGGAAAAAAAATCATTCTGGCCTCCAATGATAGACTATAAAAAAATAAAGGTAGCCATGATAGACTGTTGGGACCTAGCATAGAGGCCATTAGATAATGGACTCACCGGAAACCGACTGTATACGCACTGAAAGATATTTTTTATTAGGGAAGAACTGAAAGACACTACTGAAAAGCTGAATAAACAGTATCAGATAATTCAATTACTCACTATTCATCCTGATCCATATTATCAGAAATTATTTAGTGTTTCCCTGGAATGCCACAAAGCATGCCCTTCCCTGTGATAAGGGAAATTGTGCATGCTAAAATTTCAGGCGAACGAATACAATATGAGGATGGCCACAATGTAAAAACTACATTATGTGATCAGGGACATATGCAAGGAAATAATCATAAAAGCACGCAAGGATTAATACCCACATGTCAACCAGTATATATACAGCGTAAAAAAGCATACCACCCCCATTAACACACTGAAGAACATGAAGACTAAAGCAAAACAAAGAAACAAAAAAGAAGGAAAGAAATTTTTATCTTCAAGAATAGGACATCTAGTAGCATAAGTAGCCCCGCTGCATGGAGGTGCTCTGTCTTATGGCGCTACACTCATTCATGAGGACCTAGAGACGGAGGCCCCAATCACTTCGTTAAAAAAACAAACCGAAACACTGTTCCGGCTGATTTGTTGTGAGAGAAAAATATTGTTTCGGCTGAAAAAAACAACCTGAAAAGTACGGATTATAAGACAATCGAGCGGAACCTCCGTCGTGGAAGTTGGTCACCGAGCCAGTCCACTTGCACACCGCCAATTCGCCCAATGGATTGGAACGGAGGGTCGGTACGAATCGGAGATTGAGCAGCTCATCGAACCGAACAGGCATTTTAGTTGTGCGGAGTCTGCATGTATGGATTTCTTTTACTCTCTACCTAGTAGTAGTACTTCAAGCTCACAAGTGCACCACTTCTTGATAACCTAATCTACCTGCATCAAACTCTACAATTCGGAACAACTTCGCCGCCTAGGAGATCGTCCACGTTAGCAGAAATTTTTTCCATCCTTCGATTCCTCTGTGGCCTTCCTCGTTCCTACACGTGCCCCTTTCCTATGCTGGTCCTGTTCGCCTAACAAAAATATGTAGGCCTTCCTTGCCTGCTCCGTCTGCTCTCCCCTCCCTCTCTCTCTCTCTCTCCCTCCCTCTCCCCTCTCACCCTCTCTCCAGATGGCGCACCGCACCAGCCAGGCCCCCGCCATGCCTCCGGCGCCTCCCCTTCGTCTCCCTCGCCCTCCCTCCCTCGCTCCCGATGGGCCAACGCACTTGGCCGGGTCCGAGCGCCATTGAGATTCCTCTAGAACCTCATTGGCAGAGAACCTTATTACAGTGACACCGGGATAATCTAGCCATGGAAGCTGACAGGTCATAGGGGTGGCCAACAACACCAATGGTTAGAAACTCTACTCCTCTCGCACGCTGAACGCATCATCTGGCATCCGCTCCCTTATTGTGCAGCTGGTGCCAACGGTGGGCATGCCATGTGGGAATGTGGCTGCAAAATTAGTGCCAAAGTGTGAAGTCGATAACATATAGCAAAGAAAAACTCGAAAGTAAAGTAGCCTATGCACATAAAGGATGCAATGTTGTCCTTTCCTTGGATAATACCATATAGAAGAGCTATATACATGAACCGGAAATGAACGCGTGTAATTGTGCACATAAATATATTCCTCGCTGACCTGGTGGCCAGCACATGCCTGCACAGGGATCAGAATCGTGCAGAAACTGGTTGCAGTGGTTGAAGAGTTGAAATGCAACTGGAAGTCAGGAACTTGGAGCCGACATGTAGTAGCACTGAACCATGCTATCGGTATGGTGGAGCAGGACAGTAATGCAGCTGTTGCTGGCTTCCTGCAGACACAGACATAGACACAAATGCCCGCAGACCCTGGCCTTGTTTAGATGTCATTCAAATTCCAAGTTTTTTCACTCTTTTTTTATCACATCAATTTTTAGCCGTTTACATGGAGTATTAAATGTAGTTAAAAAAATAATTAATTACACAGTTTAGTTGGAAATCACGAGATGAATCTTTTGAGCCTAGTTGGTCCATGATTGGACAATATTTGCCAAATAAGACGAAAGTGGTACTATGCATCGGATTAAAAAAATTTGCAAAGTGAACGAGGCCCCTGTATGGAATGGATTGGCAAATTTCAGTTATAGAGAAGAGAGGGCCCTTCATTTTTTTTCCTTCAAATATATATATGAACTGGCAGTCAATTTCTAATGTCACGAAGCAAACAAAAGTAAAGCTCAAAAGAGGTTGTGGAAGCACAACACATTCGCTTCACTCGTAACACTAAATTTCCCAACAAAGATGCATTGATGGAATCAAACAAGCATTCTAATTGTTGTTAGACAAGACAACCCACCAGTGTACCGCTGAGTTGGAGGGGGGCTGTTATATGCTTGCTGGTTAAAAAGAACATCAA